AATTATTAAACAAAGAGGAAATGACTAGAGGGGCTAGAGTCTGACTTCATTTTGTGAAAGATTTTCTCCTCTAAAAAAATAACTTACGTTATTATTTTGCCACAACTAGTGCGAACACTGTTTTTGTTTTTATCTTTTTTTTCCAGTTCAGATTTGTTAAGCACGCTGAGAAACTCTTCTTCAGAGGCTACGTGAGATAAATATATGTCGAGCCTCCACTTTAGCAACTTACGTATAACCTCACCAGCTTGAAACATCTGTTAGGGTTTTATTGATGTATACGTGAATAAAATATTTGTTGTGTTGGTAAGTGCGACTGCAGCATAAAACAATCTAGCGGAGAAATGAAACAAACACTATTCAGGTAATCTCGTAGCTTTTTTGTGTTATAACTGGTGATCAAATTAATTTAAGTAGAGTCTTATGCTACACTGCCGGAGAAAAATATAAGGAAAATCAAGAGGATAAGAGAACATAACGCTTTGTGTCGTTATATGAGTAACTGACTTCTTAATAAAGTTGTGACGACGACGAATTTTTGTTTTATTTGCCGACGCAACGTTTTCATAAATAACACTGTATGGAATATTACTAGAATTGGGGTAGGTGTGACACAATGATAAAATAGCAGTCAATGGAAATATGCCGGATGTTGCTATAAGTCTCTTAATAACAAGAAATGTTTAGAAACAGCGTTAAACATTTGAATTGAACAATTTTAATAGCGGGAATATTAACTAACCTGCACGTTCCATTTTAAGTCAAATAAAATAGTAAAATAGTGCAAACATTCACCGTATGATATAGCCACAGTGGCCGGGAGAACGCTTAGTCGTTAAGGCATAAATATTCTGGTCCAATCACGCGACAAAGGAAATAAGGTCGAAGCCGATGATGATACTGAATCGCAACGTATACAACGTATAGATATGCTGAGGTGCCGACTCGAGGCTTACAGATAAGATAGATTTGAATTTATTTTAACACCCATTTGCTTTTCTTTCTAGGAAAGATGTCTAACATGTGGACTTTCATTTTTGTTTTGGGTAAGTCGGCTGAGCTCGTTTAAGACGTGTAGTTTTCATGAGCGAGCATGAGACACACTATAGTAGTTTTGGTTGTGAGAAAAGTTACGATAAATTTTTAACGCAAAGATTATTCTGATTTGCCGAGGGTAAGCTTAGATCAATTCTATCGGCAGAATGATAAAAAATAAGCAGTGTTGGAGGCAAGTATTCTGTCGAAAGTTCACGTAAAAATATGGGCAGAACTAAGGGAAATCAGTAACTTTATTTATACGCAGAACAGTTGTAGGAAGGTTCAGTGAAATTCATTGGCTCTAAATACAAATCTTATATTGTATACCTTGATAATTTCTCGTTTTTTTAAGGTCTTGATGCCTTTTAGCAGCTCATCTATTTTGATTATTACGACTCAGGAAAGAAATGAAATTGTACTGAGTTTGAGGAATATATATGCTCCATAAATTAGTTATAACTAGCGTCACACGTTAGGCCAAGGTTACCATCCATATTTGTGAAAATACGTACAATCCGAAGGAACGATTTTGTTTTGGCCACCGAGGATAATTAAGAGCGTAATTTAAGAGCCTTGGTAAAATTTAGAGCAAACTATGCAATTTTACCGATGAGCATTGCAGTCTGGCAGTTTAAACTATTACGCGAACGCAAACTATCCAAGCCTAACCAAGGGCCATTGATAATAGTTCTTTACAAGAACACGTTATTTGCGCGAAGATTATGTGTGCAATCCATGCTTACCACATAGACGATCAGGGACATTTGACTCTTGTGGCACAGCATGTCTGATCAGTTGTTAATTACTGACGTAGGAGTTTGACATGCTCACTGATTTATTAAGAATAAATACTTCTCGTATAACAGGTTTACCACAAAAATACAGGGAAAAGTTTCCTATGAAGTTAATCTCAGAGTCTATCATGAGTTTGCATTATCGTTTACGCACACGATAACGGAAGCAAGTAGACAGTCATTAATGAGCTAACTGTTCAAAGTATGTATGCTTATTCCTCTGTGAAATTATGTTCTTTGTCATAGTTACAATAATCGCGGAAGTATACTCCAGACAACGTATCCCAGACTTTGACACAACCCACCGTCTTCAAGTAGAAAAAGGGAAATATGTGGAAATAGAATTGGGGCTTTATTTGCCCCTTGACTCACCTGGAGCACCTTGTGCCGATGAGGAATATCTTGAGATCCGTGATGGGTATAATCAGTCTGGAAATCTTTTGGGTGTATTTTGTGGAAGATACGTTCCTCGCTTTAAACTACGTTCCAGTGGACAGAACATGTGGTTAAGATTTTCACCTCGCCGTAGATACCGGCTATGGACCAGATATTATGAGGGAAAAGCACTGAATGCAACATGTAAGTATTCTTGGGTTTTAATGTTTTGATTTACTTATTGGCTTATTGGTATAATTTATTGTGGATGATATGTCTTATTATGTCTTATTATGTTTGTGCTTAGATACCACCAACCTGAAAAACGTCGCAAAGACTCAGTTTGTCCTGCTCAATCATTTGTCATCGTTGTGGTGCCCGGCGGAAGGTGGACCAGCTCCTCGCATTGTTTGGAGAAAGAATGGCGCTGTTGTGCAAAACAGCACTAGTGTGCGACTTCAAATCAACGTCACTGAAGAAGAAGGAAATACAAATTACAGCTGCGAAGTGGACGACCAGGAGCCGAAAAACATCAGTCTTGTTGTCGAGAGTAAGTCTCAAGTTACATCTTTACTTCAAGGGGATCTCAGTTGTTGTGTATGCTTTTGGTAAACCTTACTCTTTGTCTTATGTCGATTTTGGGAACTTTTGGTTTTAGAATAAAACCTTCTACAATTTTATTCAAAGGTAACCTGAAAAGTCACATTTATGAAGTAAAACATAAAACAACTAAGTGTCTTTTTTTTAATTATTAAAAGATTAGTTTTCATGCTTTTGCTTTTAAAAAAATTATTAATTGACTCGATTGACCGCTGCCCAAGAAAAAGTGCCATCAAAAACTGTGCTGTTCAAACTATTGAATAATCGCAAAATCGTTCAGAATGGATAAATAAACAACTAGCAAAAGTCGCAAGTGACGTTAGTGCGGTTTTCCCCTGAGCTCAAATTGCTAACCTAAAGGCATTTTCCATTACTGCGACCGCGCAAGAGGCAATGCACGCAATAAAATCAGTGTATAGAAAAGTGAGAGCCTTTTTTCTGTCAGGTCTTGCTTGAGCTTACATAGTTTTACGACGGATTCTAACAGTCTTTATTAAAATTATAAAGCTATCAACAGTTTTCCCAAATATTCCCTTTGTAGAAAGCGGACGTTAGGACTTTATGTTTGTTCTCAATCAACCGAGGCGGCATTTAACGAATCAAGGGGTGTGATTTTTTTCGCGTGTTAAGTTTTTGCTGGGCTTATGCATTTACGCTAAGGTAAGCAAATTATGGGAGGCGATTGCGCAGCGCTTTATGCAAACTAAGAAAATAGGATAACTTTCGTAGCGCGAAATTCGATTGCCCTAAAATTTGGTAGATGAATCTGACAGCGTCAGTGATGTGATTGAATACACGTAACCTGTTGAGCAAAAAAAAAGGAAGAAACTAGCAGAACATGACTATGCGAAAAAAATCTCACCTCCTGCTATCACACAAAAGGATGAATAGGTATCAATTAGATGTCGGTTTGTGTTAACACAAAAAAATTGTGGGAGGAGATTATTCAGTTTTTCTTGCTTACGAATAAATATCTATTGAACAGTCGAGTCGATCTGGCTCGCCATTGTTTTTTTTTGTTCAAACTATTCGTTGAATTGAAATACGGAAAAAAAAGCGCGAAATTATGGTTTAAACACTGCTGATTTGAAAAGTGAATGCTTCGACCTTTGTAAGTGAGCCTCTAATTGAATATATCTTTCGCCAGTTTTAAGCAATGTAAAGGAAAAAAAATGTTAAATATGTCGTATCTCGGATTGAATGAACAAAGTCGAGTGATACGAATAAGAAAATAGAGGATTAGTAGGTCGGTTTATTTGAATCTATTTGAAATTGAGAATTTAAGGGCCGGTTCGCACTAAAGAGAATTCAAATATCTGTCAATTTTTCGCGAGCCAAACATTGGCAAACATGTTTGCAATTTTCAATTTTTGGAGGCGGACGCATCAAACTAGTATCCTTTGATCAAAACTTCATTGATTGACACATTCGTCAATCACGAACCCATCTCCCTCTACTAAAGGATAAAGAAAAAATTATCGCTAAAATTACTGGGCAAAGTATGGATCGTCATCGAATGATTATCTTCGCAGCTTTCTTTCTCTGCAAAACAACGTTGCGTTTTTTATCTTGTTGGTACATTATCAGCAGGCTTCTATGCGGCTAGTATCAACTCTTAGACGTAGAGGGCGAAGACTTCTATTAAATAGAGCTCGCTTTCGAAACCGTCCTTAGTCGAGGTCTCCGCGTTCGGTGGAGTCATGGTTCGAGCTTGGGACCATGTATCGTATTCCGCTTTCTTTTTTCCTGTCGATCTTTTTGGTTGCAGCTTGCGCCACTTGTGCTGGCTTCGATGATTCCATTGGAAGGAGAAGTACTCGTTAAAGCCGATTGTTCTCCAAATTGCCGCCTGTGACCGGGCCCAGGGTACGAGTCAGACATTCGAATAAAAACGTCACTCAAATTCCTCGTTTCCATCAAACGAAAACTGAGGGTCAGATGTCCTGCCATCGCGTGCGCCAAACTACTCTAGCGGACCACAGCGTATTTTTCCCGCTTAAATTTTATCTGAACATGTCTTGTGTACGATGACAGCTAAATGGTTTAAAAACAAGATTGTTCGGTGTGCTAAAGATTGGAAGCCTGCGAGGCAGGACATCGGCTCCTTTGAAGATTGGCGAAATTTTGGCGATCCGAAAAAAGTTGGCAAGGTTTTAAAATTGGGGGTAGCACTTATTTAACACAACTCGTTGACATATTTTTCGCTTAAACAAACAAAAAAAAGCTCTAATGCGACCCTGGCGGTAGTAGGTTCGGTCTATTTGAATCTACGTCGTAAACATGAAAAAATTTAACAAAGTTTGCACTGGATTGACTTTACTATTCTCCTTATCTTCGAACAGATCAAACGGAAAATACCAGAGAGCAACAAATCCCAATAATTAAGTATTTTAGATCATTTTCATACATGGCGAATAAAAATCATGCTCGTGATTATAATGAGCTGTTTTGCACCAACGGCTGAATAGAAATAAAAAATGTGATGTGAAATATGTCTTCATTTCGATGAGAGAGCATTTTAGTTTTGGATGGTTTTGAACAATGCTTAGCTAAACGGATGGTATACTTTGTAACGTGCCATCATCAATTTGATTCGAACAAACAGATATGATTCAAATATCAATTTTTAATGGAAGCCTGTTTTTGTTTGTCAGAGTGCCCTCAACAGTGCCAATGCAAAGTCCTTAAAGGTAACATGAAGAACTTAGTATCGGCCGACTGTGGAACGAAACAGCTTAAGTCAATTCCAGAGAAAATTCCCCGAGCTACAGGAAAACTGTAAGTTCTTAATACATCATATAAGTTTAGGTAACGACATGATTTCGAGTGCAATTTGATGTTAATAAATACTAAAAATTTTCAAAGACAACAAAATTGCACGAGTCCGTCTTTGACAGATTTACAAGTGCGCTTATTTACACCAAATTGCACTCGAAATCATGTCGTTACTTGTTAGTCTTGTTAATGACTTACATATGAAAAACTCACCACAGAAGTACGTCAAGAAGGACGAAATTTTGGCAGCGCCAATAAGAATTTATATGAAAAATGCAATCGTTTTCAGCCAATCAGACATGCGTAATTTTTTCATGTAAACGATTAAGCCTCAAATTTGGCCTTTGTTCGAATTTGGAAGTGGCACAATGATTGCCTAAAGTACGAGAAGGTTATACTAAAGACAAAATAATTTTATGGTCGTTTGTAATTTTATAAGAAATTTCATAAGAAATAACAAGAATTACATTCCATAACTGTTGAACCAGATGCGTCGGGTGATTTTCCCTTTCTATCTGCATTCAGAGTGTTGAAATGAAAGAAGAGCCAACTGATTTACCTTAGAATGTAAAAAAAACCAGTGAAAGCATATTCAATGTATTTGAAAATGTTGTACAGGTTAATTTCAGTCAGATTTACGCAGGAGTTTGAGATATTGACTTTGTTTTACTTTCGATCAAGAGTTTCTCTACCGGTTTTTTTTTTTTTTGGACACTCATTCGGTAAAAACAGATGACGGTTTTTCTGCTAGCTGCTGATTATCCTTTCACAATTTGAGTTAAAACTGACTTTCTTTTTTGTTGCAGCACGCTCTCAAACAACAAATTGAAGCACTTGCCGAAGGAAGTTTTCAGCAGAAATTCTAATCTGATAAAACTGTAAGTCATATTGACTTTGTCAACTTCTTTTGTATTTTGATGTATTGAAGATTAACGGATGGAAAATAATGTTTCATTCAGTGAGGTTCTTCGGGTGCGTTTCGCAAATCAAATTGCATGAATTTCGCAAATTAGCTAAATTCATGCATTTTGATTTACAAAATTCACTTTAAAAATTATTATGTCCGCTATTCCACGTAAAGATCCACACATTGAGCTTGATCATGAAAATATTAAGTTAGACCTTACAGCCCACCTGCAAATGTTAAGTTGGTGAAAGGACAACAAAAACAACAACACCAGCAACTACAACCTGACAAAGAAAACCCGTTGAATCTAGTAACGAAATCAGTGTCAATCTATCATTTCTCTTGGACATAACCAAAGTATTTCCAGAGATAACCTCCATGTGATATGTAATTTCTGAGTGATGAGTAAACTTTGATAAGGTATCTATGTCGGACCATCAATATCAGAGTATTTATTCTTTTGCTCGATTCGAACGTAGAACATAAACACTGACGGGCGAAATGACCCTCACATGGGAAATAGATCATCCATGATAAACTTGGAAAAAATTCGTCCATCTTTACTATATTTTTAAAGCTCTCTTCCGGCTCTGTAAGACTTTTAGGTAGAAAAAACTTAATGCCTTAAGTAAAGCAGCTTGGAAAGTTACACGGCGAGATAAGTAAAAGAAAACGATATTGAGATCAGCTGAAAATTTGGACTTCAGTAAATTTCTTAAGTTCATTATTTCATATCGTACTCAAAGAACACTTACCATTGCAGTGTAAAAATACTCGAACTAAACAGAGAATCGTCGATATATCTTAGATCAGCTTTATACAAAGTGCTCTGCATGAGAAGCATATCAGTTTATTGCTAAGAGCCAAGTAGTAGATCGGACCCAGTTTAAGCCTTCGGAGCTAACCTCTATATTCATGGGAAAGAAGTCACTTAGAGCTGTTACACAAAGTGAGACAGAATTACTTCTGAGCGCAGCATTGAAATTACTATAAGAATATAAACACTTGCTTCTGATCCTTGCTGTGGAGGAAAAATTGATGTTACATGTATTTACTATCCTCTAAGATAGCCAAAAAAACATTTCGGGTGTTTCCGTGAGCATCATTACCATTGCATATTTATTTATTTTTTATTTGCTGGTTTTGGTAAACAGCAAAAGCGTTGGTCAAATTAAGCTCTGGTATTTTCGAAAATTATCTTTAGTATATAATTAATCATTTCAAGTGTACACGCTCCCTTTGATCGAGGCCAAGTGAAAGAAAATCGTTTTTGGTCAGCTCATTACGAAAACCCATGGCCGTTACGGAGGCTTTAAGAAAATTTCCTATTTTTTATAAACCCAAGATTTAATGAGGTGGGACATTTTATAATCACGTGCCGATGCCAGAAATTCACCATTTTAACTATGCGGTATTTTAAAACAACCTTAATTTTAACTTTATGAGCTTGTCACTCAAAAGCGAGTTTATTGATCACACCTTTTCTTCATGCTAAATTGCAATTAGCACATAAAGAGGTAGGTTTGTTTAAGTCTTTAAAAACAAAAAAAGCTTGTAAGGTAGTTTCAGCACTATCATAGCTTTTCGATAATTTATGGTGGGTCCAAATTTATTCCACTGATATTTTTAAAAGTTTCTAAGAGCTAAGTCATGATATGCTGACTGGTACTGAATAATCAAATCTTGGGTTCACCGAACTCGTTTTTGGGTGATATACACGGAAAGTTAAAATTAGATGACACTGTAGTAGACTGAAGTGTTGCTATGGTAATCGTTTGAGCCAAAAAAAACTGGTCAAAACTTGTTAAGCAATTGTTCGCCACGGATATTCCTCGTGGATGTGGAATTGGTTAAAACGTTCAAACCGAATTGTTGGAGGAGGTTTACTGATCTATTAGTTGATAAAAGTTATCTTGTTTAAATGGTCACTGCTTGATCGAAAAGGTGAATGGCATAAGGATAATCCTGATGAATGTACATTTCATCAGATCTTTTCAGCCATTATGAGATCGGCAAATGGTTTGAAGTTAAAGGAAAAACTCATAGCTGATTCATTTGTACGTGAAGCTCAAATTAACAAGCACCATACGGACCGTGCGAGTCTCTTATATATTTGAAAGCTAGGCAATTCAGGTTACCAGTGGAGTAAATAAAATAATTAGGTAATTTGGTATAATCAACTGATTTGATAACGTAAATTGGTTACCGTATATAGTTTCAAAGCTAACGTTTCAAGCGTTAGCCCTTCGTCAGAGCAAATCACTAAATTACGTCATCCAATAAGTTACACTCTTCCACCGACGCAGCACCACAGTTTCTTTAGAAACTTACTCCCTCCATAAAAAGGTAATTGATTTGTTAATTTGTTCCTAGGGACTTGTCCAAAAACCAGTTGCAGAACTTGACAGCAGGGGCCTTTAATAAGAACACAAGACTGGAATATCTGTAAGAATGACGTTTCTTTAGCTTACGAACATTCATTAATGATTTTTTAATAACGTGCCGATGTATAGAGACATGATATGGGCTTTCACATCAGAATGAGTTGGAATCTGAACATCCTGTCAAAAAATATAAAACAATACAATATTTCTTAGGTTGGAAACTTCTCTTGTACAACTTAGTCCACTTACATTTCATACTTATTTGGAGTCCGGTAAGAGTCTTATCTACATCCCTAGGGGACTTAAGTGTACCATGGTAACTGGATAACAAAATGTCGTTTATCATGGTTAGATCCAGTTATGAAATTAATTCAAACAATACAATTCGATAATGCTCACTATGTGTCACCAACTCGTTCAACATGATGACATAACTGGTAAATAATCTTCGCTGTTTAACCCTTTTTAGCCCATTGAGTCGATAATAAGGTTTCATATTCCTGGGGTGGTGTGATTTTACCAAGGAATGTTTTGCTTTACAACATGCGTTATCCATTAGGATCATGGTGTGCCTGTGACATAGCAGTTTCGATTCCGGGTACAAGTTTTTGTTTTGGTTTTGGAAAATTCTTATAGTTTTATCTTTAGACAGCTTATTCAAGCATTGAGCTCTATCATAGAACTTTCCTCGCAAAAGATATTAACTTTACGAATATCCTTTAGTTTCAAAGCTTAAACTTAAACATGAGTTCTGGAGATGGTCCAGGTGGTAGTCTCAGGGTGGGATTTATTTGAAATGTTAACGCCTCTAGGACAACCCCGGCCGAATTGAATTGGAGGAAAATAGTTTTTCATTAAAGTACTCTTGTCCCTTGATCTCTAGTTTAGTTTCCATGAAGGTACACGCATGAACAAGTAATCAAGATAATTGATTCAAATCCTCACCCCTCTTAAATGTTGTCTACGCTCCACCTCATAAAAAAAACCGCACCAAAGTCAAATTTCCGCTCTCTCAAGCACGTCAGTAACCCAATCATGTTTCCTGGGATTAGCTTGAGGAAGATTTCAGTTTTTCGATTTTTTCGAGATTGACCTCTATTTTTCATATCTTGATGTTGCTTATCAAATGGATGACACATGGGAGGGAGTTAAGAAAGTTCAATCTTCGCGCCGGCGTCCATCGGGCAAAATAAGTTTTTCGATCCACTATGCGCTTGGAAAACATTCTCTTTCGCACAGCTGACGCTCGAGCTTAGCTTCAAAAACTGGGCAAGGTAAAAAATTTACGACTCGTTCCTTGTCTTTTTGAATACCACACTTTTTGCGCTTATGTGCTCCCGTACAAGAGATTTCAATTTTTTTTGCTCCCGTACCAGCCATAAAACTACCTCTGCTGCCTAAGAGCTGTGTTAATATGTTTTTTTTTTCTCGGAAATATTCAGTCATAAAATGAACAAATTAAAGTAGACGATAAAGAAAGTCCGAGGAAGATATTAATTTATTCATATTCGACTTTAATACTGGTCAGTTTGCGTTTTGAACATACGACCAGCGAGTTTAAAAGGAATCTAACAAAGGGTTATCTAAAAATATCTCCTTTATTTATTTAAATTCGAGCGTTTTAATTTTCGTCAGGCAATGAGTCTGATTAAAGTATTTGCCTTCTTTAAAAAAAGAACAGCTTCCTAGAGCTTCCCTCTATGATGGGGGTGTTACTAAACAGAGTAGCGGGGCAAGGAGTTAAGGAGAAACAAGAAAACGAGTAACAGAACTGTGTTCTTGTATATTAAGTGATTTCGGAGCAATTTGAGACAGAAAACACCTCGGGATTTACTTTAGTTTTTCCAATCGCTCCTCACCTTTAACACGCGAATTTTATAACGTCGGTTAAAAAAAAAGAACTCACATTTTACCTACGAATTTCGCAATACTCTAAAGTAATTTAGTTTGTTTCTTGCTCGAAACTAAATATTATGGGAACACAGCGTTAAATTAGTGATAGAAATTTAAAAAATAAGCTGCTGTCGTTAAAGTTGTCCAGACAACGCAAAGTTTGGATATTTCACGTTGTTGTTTTGCAGAGGACGAAAAGAAATTTACAAAGGTTTATAGCGGACGTGCACAGCCATTTTTCTGCTCATTAAACCTTTCGTTTAGTGACATTGCCATTGCCGTTTCCGTCGTGATTTTCTTAAACTCCCTATTATTCAGGAACACAACACTGTTTCTCACAAACCCACGGAGCGGCAATAACCGTAGCTCTTGCCAACATATTCTTCATGGCAAAAATGGAAAAAAAATATTATCAACCAGAGCAAAACTAAACCGCTTGTTTGGAAGAGGTATTATGACGACATTTTCTGTGTGTAGGGCACAACCAAACACATAATAGAAGAATTTGCAAGACGAGCAAACATGTACCACCATCCACGATCAAATTTACGGCGCAAAGATCAGACTCGGAAATTATATTCTTTGTCATAAGTCGTACTTGAGAAAGGTTTTCTACTTTTCTACGAAGAAAGACCATAGAAATGGATAACCGCAACCGGAAAGGAAAACTATGTAGTCGAAGGAATATAGAGCCTCACTAGTGAGAAGTAAATGTCGGTGTTTTGAAAAAATGAGAACTGAAGTAGAACAGAAATTAGAGTGCATGTTTACTGCTCGGAGAAAAAGATATCACAATCATGTGTCCTGTTGCGGAGAGCTTCAATAATTTGCAAAAATATATCACATCAAATTGTGAGGGATACTACTAATTGAAGACCATCCATGTCGAAAGCGCGAAGATCTAAGAAATTCCCTCGTGTTTTTCAAATTTATCGTGTTTCAAATCGACAAAGTTGTTAGAAGTAATTTCCCAACACTCGTCGTTCAGTTGACTATTTCTTTTATTCTCTCTTTTATTACGCAAGTTCATACAACGGGGACTGGCTCTGATCTCTCGAGGAAAGTGTGGGTCACCGCTTATAAAGGTGACACTTACTGAGCTGTCAGTTTCTAACCTTCGTCATGCTTTTACACTTAGCTAGCGAATCACGCTAAACTACGCAGAACTGAGTTCGCATACTAAGTAGATACCTTCGCGATGTTTACACTTTACAAAATGTCTTTCTAACTTAAATTTCTTGGTCTTACGGTCAAGTTCAGGCAAAACAATAACAAGATTGACAATATAAAATTTATAATAAACTTACTGACAGAATTAAAATCATACTTGAAAAGATGTCTTAAGAGAAAATAGTCCTTGAAGAGGGTCTGAATGGGGGTACTTCGATAACACTAAACACTTATTTTTTTGGCTATATAACAGTAAACAGTTAATTTTTAGCCATTTAAACACTAACATTAAAAAACTCGTTGTAACATTATTTTTTTCTCATAAACAAACAAACTACGCCCTAAAAGGAGAAATATCTATGTTGGGCCTATGTTTATTGTATCAAAGAGGTTTTTTTGGCCATTTTCTAACAATTTGGGATTATTTCAAGACTTCCGAAGAGTGAGGAAGATATCCGAAAGCTGCCGAAGATGTCCGAAAGCTGTCGAAGATGTCTGAAGGCTGCCGAAGATGTCCGAACACTGCCGAAGATGTCCAAAGACTACCGAAGATGTCCGCTGAGACTGCCAAAGATGTCCACAAACTTATGACCGACGATATTTGAAGACTACCGCAGTTTTGGCTTGTACAACTCATAACAGTTCTATTCTTAAAGCGCTTTTACAGCGAGGATACACCAAAATGAAATTTAACATAAATGAGTGTTTAAATTTGACTAGTAATGAATGCAATAACAGAATATTTCTTTTACCAATAAGATCGGCTATATTACTCAGAATGTATAATGGTCAACAAAAATGACAGGCATGTCACTCCATCCTGGCCAAAAACATTTGAATATATTCCATACCTGAATAGTCCTGATTGTCCTGATAGTCCCAATTGTTTCTAGAGATCAAGGCGGAAATGAGTGCGGGCGACGCGACCAAATCTGCTGAACGTTATGTCTGTATCATTGTCCGCATCGCTCTCCGAGTCGGTGTCGAATTCATCCTCTTGCTCGGGGAGGTCTGTCACGTCACCAACTGCGACAACTCCGAGCATGCTTTCGTCAACAAAGGTGATTCTCGGTACTTCGTTTGTAGTTTGTGGAATATTTGTATCCTGGTCGACTCGTTCTTCATTGTCTGTCCCTGGATCATCTTAAACATCCTCTTGGAATGTTACTCTAGTACACGATGGCGTACTGGGATATACAGCTGGCGGCAGGGCTCCTGCTTTGTCTTTTGTTGATTCGCTTCTTACCGTCCTTGACGGGTCGATACCTGTCAACCAATTCCTTCATGGCTGCCTCAATGTTGGGGTCAACGTTATCAGCTGAAGGAGGTTTCATCACATTTACGTCCCGTAACTCCACACTGGATTTAGGAACTGGATAATAAGACTTCTCAAGTGTGAAGTACTTCGCATCCCGCTTCGTTGTTCTCTTTAAAGATTCCTTTGAAATTGTTCCAAAGTCTTGAGCATACTGAAGAGCGGTGAAAGTCTCGTTTTTGAAGTGGGAGATTGCATGAAGGTTCTCCACCTGAGTTGTTAGCAGCGTACGCAGGTCAATGTCACCAAGATAGTCCTCGTTTACATTCTTAACGTTATCTCGTAGCTGTTCCATACCTCTTTCGAGAAGCACCAATGACTCCTGTGTTTTTCTGGAAACAGTTCCTTCAGGGCCATTTATTGTTGCTGTTTCTTTCATTTTATAGTGCTGCCTTACTTCAGCGACTGTGTTTTTAATATAAGCATTTACAAATGAAACATTGCACACAGCATCTTGAAGAGATAATTGGACCGCGTCGATCGTATGTGCACCAATTCCAAAACTATCATAGAGACATTCGAGGTTGCGAAGAAAGGACACTTTGCCAGTAAGCCCCGAAACTAGTTTGATTGTTTCAGCAGCCATATCAGAAACAAAAACATTTTCTACAAGGAACAGATTGCATGAACTTGTGTAAATGAGCAGCTTTCTTCAATTCCATCAACGGTTCCTTCATGGCCAG